TCTTCTTGTTCCAGTTCCTATCCTGTCCTTCTCGTATTCCATCTTTCCCTTTCCTATTTCGTACCTTTTGTGTGAGAGGGATACCTTGTGCTCCCTTCTCTCCTCCTATTTTGTACCTACCTTGTGCTCACGCTTACACCATGCTTCCTTGTAATAGTGCCGCCTTCCTCGGGCTCCTCTCAAGCCAGGGGACTGATCATTGGTATCGTCCTTGCTTCCGTCGTAGCCCTCGCCCTCTTGGGCGCCCTCGGCATCACCTGTGCGATCCGCTACCGTCGCCGTACGGCCTACCTCAGTAGCACATACAACAACAATTCGGGTTATCGAGGCAACTTTAGTTCGAGCGGTAATTATCAAGGTGGTGGATCTTCTGGGAACAGGACAAATGAAAAGTCGGGAGGCAGCTCGTTGAATCCGTTCGCGAAGAATAAGCGGTCCAAATCGTTCAACTCGCGTGCGTTGAATGCGTACAAGGCGGGTGTGATTGGGGCACTCAAGCCTAGAGGAACAACCTCGAATGAACGGGATGAACAGCAGTCTTCTTCCTCCTTTTCAAAGGCGTACGATACGTGGAATCCTTTGAGAGGGAATATTGCTGCTATGGATCAGATTCCGCCTCTGCCCCCTTCCATGGCCCCACCTATGTTGGACTCTAAGCAGCCCAATAGACAGCAACAGCAAGAACGATCAGGATGGAAAACCCTTTTGCCAGGCTTTGGACGGAGAGGCGATGAGATGACCACTAGGTTGAGGACTATGTCGAGTGGCGAAGCCAGCCGAGACGACCTCCCGAGTGCTGCTACAACCAGAATTGGGGATGCCGCAACTCCTACTGCCATTTACCCCGAGAAGGCAGTGATGGACTTGAAGAAGGGAAAGGGTGTCTTTGGTGCCATCTTGCCTGTTTACCATGCCCGAACCCGGTCTACGGAGGACGATATCAAAGTAGCAGGAAAGGGTTATGATGAAAAGGAATTGCCTATCGCCCCTGAGATCATAGTCACCTCCCCCACGACGATCCCCTCCTCACCCTCTGCCTACTCTAGCAATGGAACCACGAAGAGTAGATCCCACCGCAAATCATCAAGTCTCTTCACTCCCAGCACCAAGAATCCAAATGCCCTCCGCCCTTCCGATGCCAGTAGCCGATACAGCAAGTCAAACACACGCTCAGTCCGCATGAGTGACCCGTATGTCAACTATGCAGCGGCATATGCAGCATACGCTGGCTTCTCGGACGAAATAGGAAAGGGAAAGATGGAATACGAGAAGGACAGGATAGGAACTGGAACAAGAAGAGAAGAACGTACCGAGAACGCTAGTCGAGTACAAGAATGCATCTAGAGACACTCGCCCAACAACACCTTCAATGTCGTTCCGTATATTCCTAATGACGATGGTATGTGTGGAATTTGGGAGCCTTTCATTCGCGTAGAGAATTACCTAAAAAGGGGTGATTGAATTGAATCAGCATTTAGGCGTTCCGCGTGAGAAAGAGAATGTTGATGGGATGGAAAAACCGAAGACGAAGATCAAGGATAGACGGAAAGAGAGGAAAAGAGTCTCGACATGTCTATGTCCCAATTATGTGAAGGGATTGAATAGGCTAAGAAGGCCGAGCGCGGACATAGTCGCGCCTCTTCCCCCTTGTTCCCCTTGATTTTCATCAAACACGATTGACAACCGTCATAGAGTTGGGGGCCTTCCTTCTAGATCGCAGTGGCTCCAACCCAGAAACTTCAACCCGGAAAATTAATAATGATAGAAAAGGTGCCCGACTCCCGTCCTCCCTTTGTCATTTAGGTACGGTATGGATATAGATATGGAGAGAAGCGAGGCGGCTAGTGGGGAGAAGGAGGGAGAAGATTGGAGAGGAGCTTACCGCGGTGTTGTTAGATCCGTTGCCCCCCAGATCAGCCTGTCCAAGCGTAACAACATCTCCTAAATCGGTCGCGGGGTTTGGACAGTCTATGCATACAGAATAACGGGCGGGTGTAGTTGGAAGAAAGCCACGCCAATAGACTGCCGTCGATGGTTCTATCAAGATCACCGCGCGATCATCAGAGTAATTCGCATGCAAGACAAACAAGAGAAAATTACGAATTTAGTAAGGATATTAATGGAAGCTATTCGTGACTCACCCGTTATCGTGAATGCTACTGAGGCGTTGAAGACAACACTCTGCATAAAGCTCAGCGTCGAACCGTCGACGCTGCTTGTAACGACGGCTGGGAACCATTCGTTGGTGGGAGTGTATTGGATACGAGGATCTGCGGATGAGACGGTGACGTTTTGAATCAGGCCCTGTTGTGCCTTGACCACCGGTAAACTCGTAGCCCATAAGGCGAGGAGGAGAGGGTAAAATTGTAGGCTGAAACGAGAGATCCGGTTATGGTTTGTGTGTCGTATCAAGCTCTCAGCGAGAAAGAGCATTGTAAGAAGGGGACAAGAGGACTTGGTATAGAGCCCTTCTGGTGAGCTCTCTCTCAAGTCCTGGGCGACCGGGTTCGAATGGAAAGAAATGGGTGAGCTTTGAAGTAGTAGTTGGGGTAAAAATCAAAAGAGATAGGAGCGGAAGATCGCTCCTATGCTATCAAGTAGATATCCTAATAAAGAACTATTTCCGGCCTTCAAAGCGAGAAGTCGAAGAGATACAAGGAGAAAGAACAAATTAGAGCTTTATAGAAAAGCCCGGGTAAAGGGGAGAAAAAAGGAAGGGAAATGGTAGAGAAGAGGAAGTAGGAGACCAAGAGGGGGAGAACCGAGCCTAGCGAGAGGACCGGCTTAGCAACACAGCCACTTGCTGCCAAATTTCCAATGAGGAGCAAAACACCCGCTATCACACTAGTTCTAACGTGGTGGGGTGTGTCCTAGAGCCTGCCAAGGGAGTTGGGCAAACGGGCGGACTTGGAGGGGCAGAGTCCAAGAGAGGACGTGGGGGAGGTGGGGGTGTCGGGGAAGAGAAAAAGGAGAGGACCAGGTAAGGATCGTATATGAATTATTGAAGCGGGGGTCTGGCGATAACGCGTCCGAGTGTTGGAGGAATCGAGTGGCGCCCGAGCTGACCCTACGATATCGCCTTTTTCGAGAACCCAATAACGAAAGCAAAAAATGCAAAGAAGAAGAAGAGAGAAGAATTCGTGGTTTTGATGCTCGAATGGGCCTTTTGTGATATTTAATGCCGGGCTGCATTGAATCAGTACGAACCGACGCTCGACTCGGTCACTACGCACCGGCCTATCCATTGGCCTGTCGGTCTCCAGGTTCAAATCGATCTCGCCAAATGTAGAATATATTCCCAAGTATTCATCTTGCATTCATCTCGCAGTTCGCGCGCTACACCCAACGTTTTTTTCACGGCAGTTGCGTGGTCTTCTCGCGCGTAACAGTGGCAGGTCCATATGGATGCTGCAGCTACCCCAGCCTACTCCTCTGACGATGTTGCGTGCTCTGACCGGTCTAGTGGCCAAAGTGGTCTGATGAGATGATAGGCGGAGTGTAAAAAGAACCTGTTCAGGAACGTCGACGCCGTCGTTGGCCCCGGTTGCACCCATGGCCAGAGTCTCGTGGTCGCTGCTGACCCTGAGCGCACCATTCATCCATCTAAGGTTATGATATGCAATATGTCGCCCGTCGATCACTTGTATCCTCTAATATTTGTGTTCTTTTGTTCTTGAATGAAACAATGTAAAACCCCCGACGTGCGGGCGGCCTCTCTTGCATTCTTTGATCATCATGAAACAGATGGGGTGCTGGTAAATACGGGAGATTTGTCGGCACACCTTGACCCTCTCCTCGTCTGTTCAGACTTGCGTTGGCAGTGGCTTGTCAGCTATGTCGGGTTCGCATGTAGCGCCCTTCCCTCTAACCGTCTTCTGGAAATCGCTTAGTGGCTTATGACACGTTCTGTTTCGTTTCGCCGGTGGAGGGACAGTGTATTGGAGAAAAAGAGGTTGCACCGACTATTGTCGTCGGTGTCTGAGGAGGAAAGGAGCACCAAATCGTACGAGTTGCCGTGGTCATGGATGCCAAATGAAGGACCTGCCAAGTGCGTACTTTCGTAATTACATGAATTCATCGTTGACCCAGGCTACAGCACGCTTACTGCCTATATGTTAGGGTTTTGTCAACCACCTAATCGGATTCCCAATGCACAGGCTACTATGATCACGGGACTACATACTCTTATTCGTAACATATTCTCTCACGGATCGCTAGTGAGTTATCTCCTTCTTGCTCAGCACTTCTTCTGACCAGGCAGCCGCAGGTATCCATCTCACTGGCGTCCAGCTCGAACATTATCTGCAACCACCCCATGCCCTAGTTTACTATGACCACTTGTGTACAAGCCACATGGTCTGGATCGACCTGGAACAGCGACGCACCTATGCCAACCCAACAGCTCCCGCCTTGCCAACACTATGACACCATCCATTACACGGTCATACGAATAGACTTTGTGTACGACTGTCCATGGATCCGCTACCGTGCTTATCATCATTGCTCCCGAGCACGGTACGGACCGTGAGTAAAAGAGTATAACGTAAAGGGAGAGGCAAAGGGGAGCAATAGCAAAAAAAATATCCGAATTAAATAAACCAGGGAAATACAAGCTCAATACACACATGTGATAGGAATACACAGCTAGGACTGTCTCTCTTCGGAGAGTTCTTTTTCTCGTCTAGCGATCCAAGCCCGTACGCCGCCCGCTTTGTCCACCACTCCGACAGGCACACTCCATTCTCTTCGAGGGTTCATCACGTCCATGGCGCGAGTCCATAGTCTTCTTTCTCCTTCTGTAGCCGAAATAGAAGCAGGGGAAGGAGTGAAAACAAAACCTCGAGTAGTAGGACGAGGATCAACACCCCAAGGAGGAATAGCCGAGCCAGGTGAGAGAGGAGGTGAACGACCGATAGAGCGTGCAGATGTAAAGGCTGCAGGGTTTGGGCGAAGGGATTCGATGGGCATGAGAGGAGAGGGCCAACGCGTGATGGGCGGATGATAGGGTTGGGGAACCTGCAAAAAACTTTCTTCGGTCGTTTCATCTGTTGTTCCTTCAGCCGCGGAAGTCGATGAGGAAGGGTCTTGGGTAGATGTTGAAAGGGCAGCCGGAGGTGGGCTCATATTCGCCTCTCTTTGTGAAGGGGACTGCAGAGGCGGCATCGGGCCGAGGAAAGGGGAGATAGAAGGGCCATTATCCCAACCAAACAGAGGATCCCTCGCCAAGTGAGGGTCCAATGGCGAGTCTGGTGCCGAGAGAGCTGGCGAAGAAGACCGCTCTGCTGCTACAGACGACGAATCTCCAGGATTATGGGCAATCCTGAACCCTAACCTGTTTCCAGGTAATCTTCTTGGTGGGACTCCTGCTCCCCAGCGGCTCAGACTATCTACCTCTTCCATCCAGTCGAACACGGCAGGTTGGACTGGGCTTGCAGAACGAGATATCGAAGGGGAAGAATCAATGATTTCGACCTGGACGCTCTCGGGGTTGTTCTCACGACTTGCACTTGCAGAGATGGATGGCACAAGCGCTTCTGCTGAAACGCTTGTGGTGTTGACAGGCGCTTGAGTGTCAAGAGGTTCTTGTCCCCGATAATCAGATCTGCCGTGGTCTTCGAGATCTGGTATAGAGTCATCATCACTCATCGTGTCTTCATCTTCCTCTTCTACATCTTGGAGGCGATAGTCTGTTCTAGCAACCTCCTCAAGCTGGGGTGGATCTTCATCATCATCTATTCCTTCAATTGGAACCCGATAAATTTCGGGATCGATGAGGAAATGCCCTTCACCCTCTTCGTCGGTCAAAAAGTCATCATCTTCGTCCGTCCAATCGTCATCGTCCGTCCAGTCACCCCCACCTTCATAGTCATCTTCATCGGCCAGTTCCATACGCCGTCTATTCGAATTGTCATCATCGACCCATAGTGTTTCGGGAAAGGTATCTCCTGTAGGCGACACTCGATCCATACGGACCAAGCGACCACCTCCCCGAAAACCAAAGTTGCTCCCGAATCCACCAGTGAGCAGCCGTAATGGGTCCAGCTCGAACCGGCAAATGGGACAGGTGGTTGAAGGAGTGACGAACCACTGCTTCAAACACGACGAATGGAAGATATGCGCGCAAGGCAGCAAGACGACCTTTTCCTCATTTCCCTTCGCCTTTTCT